AATTTTATTTTGTACATTCAAGAGCAACCCAATGGGAAGGGTCTTAGATTTTAGATCCTATATCTTATTTTTCAAATCATTCAGATTGCACATTTTCTAAGAATCAGCATATGCACTTTGGACTTCACTACACTGATAATGTGAAGTCCAGACTATGTTCAAATTACTTAATTCCATTAATAGTCCTGTTAACCTGTAACCTCACTGTTCCTGGACTTATTATACCACAATCCAAAAACCCAGGAAGTTCCAAAATCTACATTCCCCCCCTTAAATTTGGTGCCAAAAATAATTTAGCAGTAACACCTGTGAAACTATTTATAATCTTAGTTGATCCCACTTACATGAATATATTTCACTGAAAAATGCCAAGGTAGTAACTAGGCATGTTAACAAATACAGAACATATGTACCATATTTCCATTCTAAAATGTGAAATATTCTGTTAAAGCATAGCTAGTGCAGGTTATATATTCTATTGATATATATAACATAATATTGGGTTGGCCAAAAAGTCCATTTAGGTTTCTTCCTTAAAATAAAAGACATATTTTTCATTTGGACATATTTTTGGGCAAAAATATTTTTGGACAAATATGCCCAGTGATTTGGACATATTTTTCATTTTCACCAATAACTTTATTGCTTTGGAGTATGTTGGTTATCTCCTGCTACTGGCTTCCAGTGGATAGAAGACAGGGGCACTGCTAAACATCTTCCAATGCATAAGACAGCCCCACAGCAAAGAATTACTTGGCCAAAATGTCAGTAGTGACAAGAAACTTCACAAACCACTTTTGACATATTTTATTGGTCACAGCACCTTCTCCATACACTGCACAGATCTTTTTTTGCATTTGAGTTGTGTTTTTACCTTTCTTGAAATTATAAAGCATAATATGTAAAAAATGTTCTGTATATTCTTCCATCTTCAATTAAAAGGACTGCACAAAAATGCAACAATTTTGGTGATTTTTTAATGCACGCTGATATGACAGCTGTCACAATACAATCCAACAAAATTGTTTTGAATGAAGTTAAAGCAACTAAGCACTACTAGAGCCATCGTACAGAAAAAAACTAAATGAACGTTTTGGCCAACCCAATATAAAACATAAATATATCTCCTAGTAGCATCTGCCAAGAGAGCCTAGATGCAATGATACCCTGGTAGCAGGGACAACGAGCACACCCACAGCCTAGACCTCAGTTTCAGATATCACTCTCCAATAAAAGGAACAGGGCTCCTTGGAGAGTGACAGACTCTAGGACTGAGCTAGGGACAATATAAGACAAGTCTGGTGGAACCAAAAAGTAGGAAGTGTCTCCCTAAAACACCAGGATGGAGGCATGTTGAAAGGATCCAACCAAAATTGCTACCAGTGGCCAAAGCTGGAACAATCTGAGCATTAAAATAAATACTGATTAAAATAAATACTGAAAAAATTAAGTAGGGGTGGGGGGAGTGGTGGGGGAAAAATGGAAACAACTGTACTTAAACAACAATAAAAAAAGTTTTTAAAAATACAATATTGTAATAACCTAAAGGATAAAAGAAATACCTTTGCATACATATTGATGTAACTGAATGAATGGGAGAGAAGGGACAGCTCTTCCTTATAGGAAAATTCTAATTAATAAATGTACAAGGAATGAAGGAAACTGAAAATCACCTTTAGAACACCACAGTAATAATATCGCAGGCAAATCTACCCTTGAGTGTTGACTTAGTGAGAGACTGAAAGAGAAACAAGGTATCTACACAGTGTGTGGAAATGGATTAACCTTGCCCAAGGTGAGGTGTGGCCTTCACTCCAGGCTTCTGGAAATTAATCTCAAGGTCCTTGGAATGTCCTGTCTGGTAGATGTGTTTGTTTACCTTCGGGCCCTGGGCCACTTCAAGTAGTCTAACAATGTGACTTATGGTGGAGGCCTGGGGCCCTGCTCAATAGCTGGAGAGCAAGACTCAGGTGAACTCCCCTGGCTGACAATACCCTGTGTGTTGTCACACAGTGGGAGGAGTTAGCACTGTCCACAACTCTCGGGACAGGTCAACTGGAAGCTTCACTCTGGGAACTGTCCTGCACCCTGCCTTACGCCCCTCTCCCCTTGGCTGATTTTATTCTGTGTTGTTTCACTGCAGTAAACCATAATTGTGATTTCTGAGCCCTTCTAGAAAATTACTGAACCTAAGAGTGGCCTTGGAGACCATCAAACTTGCATTTGGATGTGAAAAATGAGGGTGATCTTATAGACCCTCAAGATCTACACACCATCTCAAAGTATCTACCTCAAATAAATATTTATTAATTATAGGAAAAAATAGTAACTTCACAATGGGAAAACCTGGCAGATAATACCTTAACCCTGATCAAGGTTAGTATTATCTGTTACACGTTGATTACATGTACCTTGACACAATGCAATGGGGACACCCCACTTTGGCTTCAAAAGGTCCATAACTTCAGTCAAATCAAGAAAAAGCATCAGACAGATCCAAATGGAGGGATATTCCAGACTAGGGAACCAGTACTCTTCATAGGCATCATGAAAGGCAAGGAAGGGTTGAGGAACAGACATAGACTGGAGAAGGCTAAAGTGTCGTGACAACCAAATGAAATGTAGGAACAGAAAAGACACTAGTAGGAAACTGGTCAAACCCAAATAAAATCTGCAGTCCATGTAATAGAACAGTGGCCATGATCATGAGTTAGGTAAATACACTGATTGTGGGAGATATGAGGGGAGGCTGGATGAAGAGCACCACAAATGGAGGACACAAATAAATAATACATATGGAATATTGCCAACAAGAGAAACATTTAATGGCTGGTGTGGGGTGGAAACACAGTTAGTCCCAAGGGTTTTGGAAAAGGAACTATGCGTCTGTATTTTCATTCTTCTCTCTCTCAACTGGTTATACTTCAAGAGGGCTTTTCAAGGAAGGTATGTGGCTGGCACTTACAGGAAAATTCTCCTGCCTTCAACATATGAAGCTTGAATACTTGGCAGGTTCTAGATTTCTTCCCATAAAAATGTGTAAAATGTTTATCAACAAGTGTCTAAAAACATTTTGACCACTACTGGAAGGTGCTAAGAAACTAACTCATTATTTTAAAAGGAATGATAGAATATCATCTTTCTGCAACCCCTAATCAATCTACTGGTCATCAATAGCTGCTAACAAAGACGTCAGGGACCCCTGGAAGAGCCCCCTACCACCTGGTAAGCATTTTGCTACCCGCCCCCCCCAATCAAACTTCAATCAAACCAAGCCCACAGATGTAATTACTAATTTACAGGAAACATACAAGACAGAAACCTGTTAAACTGTACCACAGTGACACAATCAGCAAAATCCACACTGGCGAGATTCTCCAACAAATACACAGGAGGGAGATGGAAGAAGCCTACAGATGTAAAAGAAACTTAAGAAACATGTCAACCCATAGTCATAAATGAGCTTTATTGGGATGCTGATTCAAACAGTTTTAAAAACCATTTATGGGCCCTGGCTCATATGACTCAGTGGATTGAGTGACAGCCTAAAACCAAAGGGTCAACGGTTCAATTCCCAGTCAGGGCACATGCCTGGGTTGCAGGCCAGATCCCTGGGGGGGCACTCGAGAGGCAACCACACACTAATGTTTCTTTCCTTCTCTTTCTCCCTCCCTTCCCCTCTAAGTATAAATAAGTGAAATCTTAAAAAAAAAAATTTATGGGGTTTGGGACAATTAAAATTTGACCACTTGCTACATACTGACATTAAGAAAATAGTATTCATTTTAATGAAGTGATACTAGTATAATTAATATGGGGCTATGTTTTTTCAATGTCCCTTTTTAAAAAAATGCTGAAATATTAAAAAAATAAATAAAAATGTAAAACCACATCTACAAATGCAACTCCAAAGCAATGCAATGGATATAACATGTATTATATACCTGAATGTTCATTGCACTTTTTTCTTCAAGCTGAGATTACTATCAGGTTAAATAAAGGCATTTGGTTTCCTTCATCAATTTTGCCTAATATGTGCTGAATGTCATTCTATAGATCACCAGCACCATACTTTCTTTCATTATTATCATCTCCAAAAGTCCTATTTGGGCACTTTGTGAACTATGGAGGTAGTAACTCTTGCTCAGTCACAATGAACACTGACATGTACAACATACCTTACAGGGCAATGTTTGCTTTAAGAAAACTAAAGGAGTTATCATTATTTTAAAGAAAAAGCCCCATATTATTAAGGACAGAAAGATAATAAAATTATATTGCTAATCCTCCATACCCCCTGATATTTTAAAAACACATTTTAGATAAATATAAAAGACAAATAAAATGTATAAAATAAAAGCATTAACGATAATTCACTGTTATCTTTACAAAAGAATTTACTGTAGTTTTCTCTAAACACTGTGTCCCACTATTCCATTTTCAGGATGGATGAATATATAGATGCATGAGGCCACAAACTATCAGGTCTTATTGTGTCTACTTAGTGTTTTTTTAAAAACCAAAAATGTTGCTGACATTTTAAAATTAGAAGACTTCATCATAACTAAACTAGGTACCCATAATGACTCATGCCGCCTAGAGGCTGGCTCGGTCAGCAGCAGCTGTCCTCAGAGTCTTCCCAAATACCAAGCTCAAGGGCCAGCAGCCATTTATCATCAGATTTCCACCTCCACTTTTGACACATGGTCTGCTTCGCTCTTTAACTTGCAGCCTACCAGGTAACAAACACTGAAGTTTGCAACCACTAACTTTTACTCAGCTTTTTATTTAAATAAAACATGTCCACACTGATGCTAGGAATTTTGTAACTTTTTTTCTTAAATTCACATAAAAACTAAGAAGTTGAAAGGGCATTCCGAACATAAAAGTAACACAAAGAACATAGAAAATATCCATTCTATGTATTTCTCCTGTCCCTAATTAAGCCCCAAGCTATCAGAACCTTCACTCCCCCAGCACTGCAGCACACACAGCCTCACCTGCATTGCTCCCAGTTCCTTTCTGCTTTTTTTTCTTGATTAGTTGAATGGCTCGGGAATCAGTTCTTGCTGAGCCCCCACTTTCCTGAGATCAAAGAAAAGTGTGTCAGTCACTTGACCGAAACAGCAACGGGAGGGAACTACCAATATGTAGTAATTCTGCTTCCTGAACAGAGCAAAGTCGAATACTCTTTGAGAATCTCCAGCAAAGGCTCACTGAGAATCAAATACTATGTACAATTATAGTGATAGCTAAACGAAGTCAGAGTTGGAACAATATATATAATTTTATTACCCAGATATTCAAAGCTTATTCCTCCAAAGTCTAAAACATTAAAATATTTTATACAGAAACTGTTAAAAAATGAATTACATACTTCTCTGCTGTCTGAAACAAATAACCAGTCTTCCCTCAGTGATTCAAGATTAATTTACTGCAGCACTTGCCAACGTTTTTCAGAGCATGCCACATAATACTTGTATGACAGACCTGGAGGTCCTATTTCATGTACCTACTGCAGAGGCCACTCCAGTGGCAGGTGCTCAACTCAGTGTTTTACAGACCAAAGCAATAATTGGTTATGAATTCAGGAAGTTTATTGAGGGAGTCAAACAGTATTACAGTATTTAAATAGGACTTCAGCTGAGTTTGTGAATGTTTTATAAGAAAAACATGTTAATACTTACCACTACAAAAAGAGAAAGAACAACCCTAAACAGCTCATGGCATACCTGTAACCCATTCAACACACACCATCTGTGGTCAGAAAATCGAGGCAGCCCAACGTCACTCAGCTAGCAAGAAAATGGATCAAGGATCAAGGTCATGGTGGCTCCTCCTGTCCCCACCCACAGTTAGGCCTCTGATGATGCAATGACACCAGAGAACTACTGTTTCCCAAGGTACTGAGGCCCTGCACTCAGGCAGTGACACCCTACAAAATGAGCCTTAGCCATGTCCCCTCCAGGCCCAGGCACCTGCACACTAGGCAACTGCTGTAGCTGCTGAAGCAGAGATTAGCACATGTAGATATGCCCCCACAATAAATAAGACACCAGACAAAGCTAGACAGAGATGGAGGTTCTCTCAAAAGACATAAAAGCTGGCTCCATGGTGGATGGTTACCACATCCCTCAAATTGATCCTAATTCAGAGAATTAAACTTTTTTTTAGAAGTTGTGGTAAGATTTAATATTTTGATCAATATCACTATCAAACTTAACCTGTGACACAAAGAAAAAGACCTATTTGATCATTCCCATATGAACCTGAGGAAAGAAATCAGACTTCTCCAAGAATCTTTAAATTATTTTTAAATTATATTAAATGTAAAACTGATATAAAGGATATTAACTGTCAAGCCTCAAAACTGGAGAACTACTCATAACCCTCCAGAAACAAAGGTTCACAAACCACTATTTTCCCCCCTAACTCTAATTCTTTTAAAAAAATTGTTTTGCATGATTTTAAAATTTCCATTAAAACTCTAAAGACAATTGATAACAAGATCCCCCTTACTCTGCTTATTAGTAAGTCTAAGGACTTGTTATTATGTGAAAAGCACAAAGGCAGACTATTTCAACATTATGAAATACTACCAATTTTTTTTTCAGGAAAAGAAACATATTATCAAGTAATCACAGCACTCAAAAGGACCTTAGAAATCATCTAGCCAACCCCCCTCATTTTAGAAATGAGACTTTTAGGCTCAGACAGGTTAAGCGATTTGCTCGAGGTTATAAAAACTAATCAGTTCTGACTCAGGATCAGAATTCAGATTTCCAAACTGGTAGTCCAGGGCTCCATTCTTTCACAAAGAGTAAGAAATGTCTGTACATAAATGATTAATCCAGAACATCCTCAAAATTAAGTGTAAGAGAAGTGGGCTATGTGGCAGTGACTGAATATAGCACTTCATACCAAATAAAAGTTGCCAGTCCCTGCACTGAGTCCTGTGTCTCTCTGAGGACTGTGCTTTTCTGGAGGGCTGGAGAACACAGGCCGGGGCACCTCTCTGCTTTGTTCTTGCTGCCTGACAGTTTCAGGGCCAGGAGGTAAGTCTGGTTCCACTTTGATTGAAGCCAGCAATTCTGGGACACTGGTATTCCCTGGGAGGTTGCTTGAAGAGGTCAGTGTGGTGGTGTTCACTGCCAAACTGCTGCTGGAAGTCAAAGCCCGTGGGTCCTGACTCAAGTTCTTGACAGGCAGAGCTACCAAACAGCCTAATCCTCCTGCACTTACAGTTTGCATATCATCCATATTGAAGTTGCTTTGCTGAAGAACTGTGGCTGTTGTCCCAAGAATAAGAGGGCTGTCCAGGCTTGGAGGAATGTCATTGTGGGCCACCAAGACCAGTGGGTCCATTGGCCCTAAGGAACTATTATTAGGGAGGTTCCCTCCAAGAGAGGAGCTCACAGAAGTCACATCAATAGTCAGGATTCCAGGGGTCAGTGCCTCATCCGAGGCCCCTGCTGCACTACTACCATCAGCAGGTACATCGGAGAAGAGTACTGCCAGGTCTATGTTGTTGAGCTCACTTTGGCCTGGGCTGCCAAGTTCACTGACTGGAAGAGAACTTTGAGCTCCTAGCTGAGGGAAGAGATCTGAAAAGGAATAAACAGTCCAGTTATTTTATGCCCTTAGAAGACTAAGAAGTTGTTTTGCTTTTAAAGATTTTATTTATATATTTTTAGAGAGGGGAAGGAAAGGAGAAAAAGAGAGAGAAACATCAACATGTGGTTGTGTCTCATGTACCACCTACTAGGGACCTGCCCCGCAATCCAGGCATGTGCCCTGACTGGGAATCAAAGCAGTGACCCTTTGGTTTGGAGACCCACACTCAATCAACTGAGCTACACCAGCCAGGGCAGAAGACTAGGAAGTTTTATTTGTACACAAGATATTAGGCAACCCATCAAGACAACATCTATTGCCTAATTCCTGACCCTGCTGCCTGGCACATCAAAAGCAGCATTCAACGAAGAAAGCCTGATGACACATAAGGCATTTTGCATATGTTGTCTCAAATCCTAGAGCTGACAGGAATGTCTCCAGATGGAAGAAATAATTCAAGAGAAAATAACATTTTCTGAAATCACATTAATGGGTAACAGAACTTGAAGCCATGTCTTCTCTGGCTTTAAATCCTGTATACCTTCTGCTGTACAACAGCTACCCCTGAGAAGACTGTAAAACTTTCCATGGCATCCAAATCTTGCGAAGTCAGACCCAAGGTGAACTCTAGTTCTGAGAATATTTTTGGAATTAGCTTGTATCAGCTCATGTCTCATCAAACTCTATGCCTCACTGTACAACTAGTTGCCACTCCAAAACAGATTTGAGTCATTTGGGGGTGGTGAATGGAGAAAAAAAATTGGCCAGTAGGCCCCAGCTCTAGGGAGCTGCAGAGAACTAGAGATCTGGTCCCGCAGGCACTCTAGAGACAGACTCCCCTCTCCCTACCACCTTTCTACCCCCAGTCTCTAATACTCCCCCCACCCCCTGCTATGATCATCCTGAGGGTACAGTCTGTCTGACCATCTTTGTACTTCAGCACCAGGCACAGTGCCTGATGGGCCTTAAGCAACATTTAATAATTACTGTAGAAACAATTCTAGTAGATCCCTCTTCATTCAGTCTTACTGGTCCCAATACTCTAATCATTTGGTTATTAGTTATCCAATTAATCCAAATAATCAGAATATCCCTGGAGGAATAATGAACACTGGCATACTTTTTTAAAATTTCAATGAATATTCAAGTTGGGGGTTTATATACAAGTGCACTCAATCATGCCAAATCCAGAGCCAAACAAGGATCTGATGTTATTCTTAAGAAATTCCTACCTGCAACTTCTAGAATGTGCCACGTCCCAGCCAGAGGAAACAGGCTCCCAGTTCCTGGCTCTGTTCCTCCCATACCAAACATTAGCTAATCCCAAATTCTTATTTTCCAATTGTGGACACCAGGTCAGAGTGCCCATTATATTTATCATGCAAACCTATGAAAGAATCTACTCTAGACAAGCCCCCCAAATAAATTTTAAATAATCAAATTCAGAATATATCTTCTTTAACTGTCATATTACTTCAAAGTTTAAATGTAGGATCAATATATTATTACTTCTTAAGTATCTCTTAGTGATGAGACATTCTGAAAGAAAATGTCAGTGATTCTTTGGAAAAATTAAAAATCAAAATTATCTTTTTTTCAAAACTTTCCAAAAATTCCCTTGACAATTCTGAGGAATCAGCTCCCTATGAAAAGGTTAATAATAACCTTAGTGCAAACAGCGATTTGTCCAAAAATTTCCTAGTCAGCACTTTATTAATTCCACTTTTACTGGAGCCTGCTATGTACAAGAACCAAATATTCAAAAATCATTAACATTAATTAATAGAGCATCTAACATAAGGTTACAATTTTGGCCTTGTTCCAGCCCTTCTTTGCCTATGTGACCTCTAGCAAATCCTTCTCATTTCTATCTCAGTTTCTTTGTCATTGACAGAGCGGTTAGGAACCCCCGATCCCAGGACCACTATGAGGAGAAACTCAAAAGGGTAATCCAGGGCAGCCCCTGGCAAAGTTGGTCCACAAAAAATGGACGTTCCCAAGCACTTATTTCTCATGAGGCAAACACTGGGCCAGCACCTGGTCATCTACCCACCCCTAACTTATGGCAGGGAAGAATGACTCGAGTAAGTCAATGTCACATCATAAATTCGGAGCCTGGAAAACAAGCACTACAGAAGCACCTGAGAGGTTCTCATATCCAGAGAATAAACAGTGCTGTTGCTGACTTCTGTATTAGCCAGGCTAGGAAAGGGGAAGGAGCAGAGAGGCCAGGTACATGGTATCACAGACCACCAGTTTACAGTTGGGCAAGTAAGTTTTAAAGACAGAGGCAGGAACACAGTCAATCACTGAGGGCCTCTGAACATCAGCATAAGGAACCTGACTGGCCTGTGAGCCGAGCTGACAGCCTCTAACACGAGTCCTCAAGATACCTACCTAGTGTCTAGAAGGACAGTGTCTTTAAATACAAAGCAATCACTGTTACAGCCAAAGGAGGAAAGAAGTGACCACACTAATGGGATCAGAGAAAGCCACAGGAAGGGCACAAACATTCACTGAACTAAACTACTCATCAAGCCCTATTCTAGACACTTTAACAAGACATTGCAATATGAGAACCACTCAAATTCCATGTTTGAAAGATGGACAAACCAGAGCTGGCAGGCCTACTCCCTGGCCAGGATCACACAGCTAGGCAGCGACTATACCCCAAGGCTGGTGCTGCCTGTCACACAGGTGGCAATGAGCAGGACCTGATTAGCAACACACTCGGATAACTCTATAGCTTGCCAGGATTTCACCAGCTAGGACCTGCCAGGTGCAGCAACCCCACCATACCCCAGAGAGCAGGGTGATGAGAGTGCTCTAAGGAGTCAACCACATGGCCACCCAAACCTCTCAACATCCTGACTAGAGGACTGTGCACTGCAGCCTCAAGAGGCAGGATTCTAAGTTCCATGCCACCATGCAACCAAATGAACAAGGCTATCTTGTGGGCCCTCCCACCTCCCAGAGAACTGTCACGGTTCCCTCTCTGCCCTCACAATCCTGTCCCCATTCACATCCTGAAACACAACTCTGTTCTCATCTTGAAGGACTTTCTCCAGCAGCGGAATGGAGGAGACAAAAGGGTGTGCTCATAAAGAACCAATGGGACTTAAAAAGAGCAGCTGAAAAAGACAAAAACAGCAGAGGAACACAGGGGGTTCCTAGGTCACAGGGGGACACAGAATTGAGGCATATGCTAGGAAAAGCCAACAAAATAGAAGACTGAATGTTCTCCAAGGACGAATCAGAGAAGCAGAGGCAAGAAATGGCAGGAAAGTCTGAAAGAGGCCACCAGGTTTAGCAGTCATGGTCCCTAGACTGGTAAGACCTCACTGCACTAGATTAACTTAACCTAAGACTCAGCCAACTTCTGAGAGAAGCTAAGGAAGGAATGACACACTTTTGCTTCTCTGAAACTTGCTGACCTTACACATCTCTGTAGCCCTCTAAGAGGGACAAAAATCAAGCAAACCTGGGTGCCGGCTATGCTGCCTGACAACATGTGCCTTCATGCTGTGCTTGGAGGTGAACAGTCTGTTACAGCTGGAGACCGGGCAACGGCTTTTTGGAGCACCCACATCCTGCAGGTGTTTCTTGGAGTGAATGTAGAGACTGCTACGAGCAGAGAACCTGGCACAGCACCCTGGAACAGAAACAATGATGACTGTTAAATCTGTGGATTACCAAGGAACAAATGCTGATATTTCCTTGTCATATCAGAATCATATCCATGCTTTGGCTACTGGCCAGAGACATACACTAAAGATCCCTTGAAGCAGCATCATAAAGAATTAAATTTGAAAGCAAACTCTGTTTTGAAAAGGAGATCTGAAGTTCCACATCATTTGTGTATAAGACATGTGACCCTGGACAAGTTAACTCTGAGCCTATTTCTTCACCCATTACACAGGGCTGCTAGAAAGATTAAGTTAAATTAAGTGTTAATTCCATAAACATTCAATTGCTAAAAATTTATACTAATCATCTCTATTAAGCTACTATTATATAACAACCATAATTGTATGACATTTAAAGTTAGAAGCTATCTCAACAGATCACCAAGGCCAATTCTTATCATTTTACCACTGAGAAACTGATGACCAGAGTGACCAAACAAATGGCCCTAAGTCAGGGATATAAGCAGAACCTGGAACTGGCACTGCCTTATTAACTACTCAACTGCTTAGCCAGTCAGTAAGATTGCAGACCTGCACACAGGTCAGAGGGAAAACTAGAGATTCAAAAATACAGCCACCTTCCTTCATGCCCTGAATTTCCACTGTTGGAGGTCTGCACTACAGGGACAGAAGGGGAAGTAGGGTTCTTGGCAGCTTGTAACCTAGTAGAGACATGTAAACAATCCAATGTCTTAACAAAGGGCAGAATAAAACCAGCTCTAGTGCCGTGGCATATGCTGGAAGCAGAGGAAGCAGCACACCTCCAGAGAGGATAGAAAAAAGGTTTCAGAAGGCAGCTACCATGTGAGGTAACTGGGTCCCAACAAATGGTAGGGGCCGGCCAGAGCAGAGCAAGGGCATCCAAGTCAAGGGAGCTGCCAAGCTAAGGCATGGACGCCATAAAGGGCAGCAACGCTGAGGGGGCAGGTCCTGCTCTGGAGCTAGCATGACTGTATCCCAACTTTAGTTCAGCCCTCTGTAGTATATAGTCTTATTTATCCTTTTGGAATCTCCTTTTTCCTTTCTGTAAAGTAGAAATGACACCAACCTCACAGAAATTATGAGGACTAAGTGTATAATACCAACCTACAGAGTACTCACAAAGTGCCTAAACAAGTAGAAACAAGCATCTTTATACTGTGGCAACTTTCAGGGTGGCAAGGGGGAGCTGCTGGAGTCCAGGGCCAGGGGGAAGCCTATTTTAGGAAAAGAGGCTACAAAGATAGGATATGGTCAGATGAATAAAGGTTTCGGCTGCCTCTAATGAGTTTTGAACTTATATCATTTTCAAACAAAGCTTCAAACTTGTTTTCTAGTCAGGCTCATGCCAGTACATTTGGAAAACACCATAGAGAGAGTAGGTGCTACGGTCTCACCCTCAGGCATCTTGTCTATGACGCCTACTGTGTTCCACCCAGTGCATGGCAATACCCTCTATCTGTCATGTTCCTGGCCCCTTTTTCCAGCTGGGAGTACTCAGCACAAATTTCTGAAGGCAGCTCACAGAACAGAGGTGCTGAATACACTTTTTAATCAAGCTGCCTTCCCAAAGAACAAGATCAACCACAATGAGGATGTCTGCTACACACTTTTGCCAGCAGTTGAGTTTCCATTTTTCAAAATATTTGCTAATTCAACAGGGAACACAATATATTTCATTTTAATTTGTACTTTCTTTGATGACCAGAATGTGACCATTTTTTCATGTTAACAGTGTTATTTCCTAATTACAGCATTATATGTTGAGACTTACGTCAGTTCTGTACAAATCAAAGATATTAATAAACAGCAACCCACCTTTATACCAAGACACCACACTCAGGGGAAGGGTGAAGGAGTCCCATAATGACATGCTTCCCTCCAAACCTGCAATTTCCACAGGTATCTGCACAGCTTGCATCCTCATTTTCAAAGTGACCACACAAACATCTGCCAACCTTGACTCCCTGTGAGACATTCTGAAACATACTAGAGAAACCACCACATGTGTCCTGAAGGTCCCATCCCATTCATGCTGTCCTTGGTTCCCCATCTGTCCTCCCTCATACACGCTCCCTGCTGATGGCCCTCTATTCTCTCTTCCTCCTCCAGTTAACATGGAAAAGGAGATAGTGCTTGTTTTTAACTTTTTACTATGGAACATCTACGAAAGCAGAGAAAATGGCATAATCTGAAAACAGGCTCTGAGATTCCTCCACCAAGCTCCTGCCTTCACCACCACTGACAGTCAAGAGCACTTTCAACCAGCCAATGCCCTATCACTCCTCTCTCCATTATCTGCATCTCTCTAACTCTACAGTAGCCAGCAACTGCCCTTTCCTCTTTCCTTCAACCTCTCTAGAAACATCTCCAGCCTCACCCTAGCTCCCCTCTCAGGTACTAGAGCAGACTTCTGCCCCAGCTACTCCACTGAACCTCAAACTTTGCGTCATAAGTGAATCAATCCAATGACCCTGCCTTCCAGAGGAGCCCCCGCATATTCCTCACCAACCCGCCACACCTCAGCACTCAGGACTCCCTTTTCCAAACATCCTCCTCTCTTGACCTTACGGTTTCCTTCTACTTTTCACCTGAAATTGTGGCAGTCCCCAGGGTTTTGTCCTAGGCCTCCTTGATAACACAAATCATAACAACAGCAATAGGTGACCTTTTCAGATGGTTCATATGTGCCTTAATTAAGCTTATTAACTAACTGAACCCTCATAATAAACTTATGAGGTTTTATTACCACTTTACAGATGATGAAGAGGCACAGAAAGCTTGAGCCGCTCAACCAAGGTCACAGAGCTACTTAAGGGCAGACCCTGGATTTGAATCCAGGCAGTCTGAATCTATCATTCACATTCTTAATCACTATACTGCCTCTCTTTGATTTACAGTTGACCCTGAACAATACAGCAGTTAGGTGGGCTAACATCTGCAGTGTCAAAAATCCATGTATGATTACAGCCAGCCCTCCAGGTGCTCCTACTCCCAACCACAGAGTTGACCCTTGAACAACATGTATTTGAAATGCGTTGGTCAACTGAATTGCTATCAACTGCAAAAAATGAGCATGTAAATGGACTCACACAGTTCAAATCCACGTTGTTCAAGGGTCAACTATACACTGTTCCTTGAGAATTATATCCATTTCCATGGCTTAAATGATTACTGATGTGTTGCCTGCCTCACTCCAGACTACCTACTCACCAAGCCCAGCAATACAGCCCCCTGTCCTCTGAGGAACTCAATTTGCAAAGTGCATGGGTACCTAAAATGTAGCATGTCCAAACCAAACTCCTCTTCCTCCAATTACTGCCCTGTGTCCCCCTCCAAACTGAGATACTGACCCCAACTACTGCCTCTCCCACAACCCCCATCTTCCAAATCTGTCATCAAGTACTGTTAATTCTAATGTCTACCTCTCCTGTCTATGCTTTCCCTTCCTTCCCTCCACCCAACCCCAGTCCAGGCACCTTCCCTCCACTAAAGCCCAATCCAGGCACCAGCACCTGGTTTAAGGAAACCAGACTGAGCCTAAACTCAAATATGATCCCATTGCTCCCCTGCCCCAAGCACTCAAGAGACTGCTTTTCTTACAGCACTGGGAGATCTCGCCACTCTGGCCTTTCTGCCACCCCGACACCTGGCTAGCTTTTCCTTACTCTTCAGCTGACTGGGAGGCCATTCCCATGCCCTAGAAACAGTTTGGGTGACCTTCTTTGTGCCTCCATAGCACTCTACATGTTACCTGTCTACATGTCATACCCTAACTGAGCTCTGATGAAGAGAACTGAATCTTGGTTATATCATCTATATTATACTCATTACTTTGTAGGAAATGGTCTTAGCTTTGAACTGATCTTTACTAACCAGAGATTGCCTGAGGTCACCAACTTAGGGGAGGGTAGAGCCAGGATTCAAATTCACAACTCTAGACTGATCTGGCTCTACCACTTGCTAGTGCCTCTGCAGCACTACAGTAAGGCCAGCATAGCCAAGCCACACTTTTGGTGACTGAATCATACCTTCGGTGTTTTAGAGGGAAAAAAAAACCCTAATACCCTTCTAAAAAGCCAGCCTAGCTCTACTGCTGTCCAATCACAGCATGGGTAGCATCCATTTACTGAGTTCATGATATGTGCCAGATGCCAAAACAAGCATTTTTCAGGTTATTTCACCAAATAGTCACACCGACCAAATTAAACAGGTAACTAAGTCACAGATCTAGTGAAAGCACTGCAGAGCCAAAGGTCAAACCAGATCTGATTCTGAAGTCTGTTCTGTCCAATACATTGCTCCTAAGACAGAGCAATTAACTAAAAACCAAGTAAATCTAATACTACAACTTATACTCACCTTGTCTTTAAACAACTAAAACTTACCTTTAAACAACTAAATATTACAACATCAGTGTGGAGATGGTGTTAGTTTACAGCTCAAAGTAACATATTAAAATCTACCTTCCACCGGACACTCGAATGGTTTTGTGCCCAAGTGGGTGATACTGTGGCCTTTCAAATGCTCTGCTCTCGTGAATGACTTCCCACAGCCTTCAACAGGGCAGGTAAACCTCCGGTCATCATCGTGTTTCCTGTAAGAACAGAAAAACATGACAGTAATTACTCACACCATCTGAAGGCACCAAGCCTCAGAGGTGACCTTTGTTTAAAAGTCTGCAAAACATACCAAACTATAAACACTTTGCATTTTTTAAAAAACTACCAGTACACTTCAGAAAATCTAAATTGTATCTCTAGCCCACATGGGCATATTTGCAGTTTAGCCACTTTGTAATTAGAAACTCTACTTCAATGACCTAGCTGATTCCAGAGTCAGACGACACAGAACAATCAGTGCTGCTTTAATCTAGAAACAGCTGATTCCCAATGTACTGATAAAGCTACTTCCACTGTTAAGGAATCCTGATTATAAACAAGCTTTCCAACCCACAGAGGGCAATGATAAGTGTGCACAGAAAATCCACTGCAATGCTTAAAGGACCGTCTCAAGCCCACACATAAATGCTGTCTTTTCAAGTAACATTTTTATATTAAACCCCTCAAACCCTAGCTATGCAAGCATGGACAATCCACCCAACCTCTTGAGTCCCAATGCAAAACAGGGAGAACAAAAACATCAGAGTCAAAGCTGTAAAAACTAAAAGAGATACACATGCAAAGTGCTGAGCATCATGATCGGGTAGACTAAGCCCTCCAAGGTGATCATTATCACCATGGAAAGTTTGTCCTGCGTAAGGAAAGCCTATTCCACATGTTAATTTTCTTAAAAATATAGGAATATATATAAAGGGTGTCAATTAAATTTAAAAACAAGTATACACAGAAAAAAAACTGACTTTAGGTTATTAGGTTCTCAGTGGTTCTTTTTATAACTTTCTGAATTTTCCAAATTATCTACATTCACCTGTCTTATAACTTAAAAAAATGACATATATTGCATTCATAGGCTTCTGCTACTAAAAAACAACACATTTATTTTCAAAACTTCTAATTCAACCAAAATGCATAATTACCTTTTGTGCCTCAGGAGTTTAGACATGCTGGTAAAGGTCCAGCCACAACTGTCAGAGTCACAAATAAAAGGTCTTTCACCTTAGAAAAGAAAAAGTTACATCACATAATTATAACTGCAAGCTACTACAAAGACAAATCTTAGGTCCAAATGACATTGCATTCTCTAGCTCATTACCTGTATGACTTCTCAGGTGAATTTTCAGGCGGCAGGCTTTGTCATACTGTTTGCTGCAGCCAGGAAAGGAGCAGGAAAAGAGCTCCTGTTCTCTGAAGTGGGCACGGTTATGGGAAAACAGAGCACTCACTGTGATGAAGGTCTTCTCACAACCTGAACAACAAAAACAGACCTGCTCAACGGTGTGACAAAAATCACAGAACACAGCTACACTAGTCACCAACCAGGACACTGCTGGCCTTGACTGAAGCAGACAAGGAATAAAATGATTAAGAAGTACCTCTGAAAACACTACCATTGACATCTGGCTTTGTAATAGTTAAAGTAAGGGTGGCCAAGGGCAGTGAACAGCCTCACACAAGCCACTTGTTTTGATGTGGCTTAGAGATGAAGGACTCAATCAAGGAAAGTCCTCCAATCACAAGCACCTGCTCCTAGTTCTGTGGCACAGATCTTGCATACAATGTTAATTCAAGTGTCAGTGCTGCCAGTGTGAGATCCAAGAAAATCCAGTGAGGAAAATTAGACAAGGAACAAGATTTTCTTTGTTAGGGTTGAGTTGGAATGGCCACAAATCACTGTAGTATCTGAGGCTTTTTAACCCCTTGGGTTGATGCTGCATCCTCTACAATTACAAACATCCTCCCTGACATCCTCTGCAACTTGCAGCCCCCACTGCTGTCATCTGGCTTCTTCTTTCTGCCCATTTCCTCAGGACTCCCTGCTCTGTCAAAGAAGGTTACTAGAGCCATCTTCACTCACATGGTCTTTTCTATCCCTTCCATCTTCAGCCCCAAGTTGAACCCCAGCCAAAGCAGCCTACCTAAGCAATTCCCAGACTTTCCACAGCAATAGTTCTCCTTTAAGGAAAACATTTGGTGCTTAAGGAGGGTGGAAGATATCAGGCTACAAGATGCTTATCAGGTGTCCTACTTGCAACTCTTCTCACAGCCTTTAACATGCTACCATAGGTACCTGAAACTACCCAGCAGATACACACCGCACAGCATCGCATATTACATAAAAGTACTGGCCCAAGGAGCCCTGTTCTTCCTGGCAACACTGAACTGGGAAAACCTAACCTCTCTAAATGCCTAAAATCATCCTCTTTGCCATCAGTCTGCTCCCCACCCCCATTTCCCCAATTTGGGGCTTTGGTATAGATGACTACTTGGTCAGGTAAATCTGAGCATGCTGAATCTGAAACATTTCTTGGGGCCTCACTGATCCATCTCATCCTCCTACCCATCTCAAACACTGACATCCCACAGATCATGTAGCTCAGGGGTGTCAAACTCATTTTCACCAGGGGCCACATCAGCCTTGTGTTTGCCTTCAGAGGGCCAAATGTGGACTTCTGGCCAAGATGGAGGCGTAGGTGGACACACTGTGCCTCCTCGCACAACCAAAATTAAGGACAACAAAAATTTAGAAACAAAAAAACAGACAGAAGACTGAACTGTACAGAAGTCCGACAACCATTCATCCAGACCGATAAGAGGGGCGGAGTCAGAGGCCCACCGAGAGAGGTCCCAGCAGGAGAAAGCGGTGGCTGGCAGACCAGGGGGCGCAGGTGGTGGCTAGCAGACCCCATGTTTGGGGAGGCATCGAGCAGACCCAGTGAGGCACACAAGGCAGCTGGCTGTTCGAAGTCACACATTCACTCACAGATAAACCAGGTGAAAACGGGCAGCAAGATAGACCTCGCAACCCAGGGACCCAGCACCAGGAAATAAAGCCTAAAAGCACCAATTGAAAACACTTGGGTCGGGGGGATTGAGGTGCTGGGGGAGACTCCAAGCCACACAGGAGAGTTCGTTGGAGAGACCCACAGGGTCCTAGAACGTACACAAGCCCACCCACCGGGGAACCAGCACCAGAATGGCCCAATTTGCTTGTGGGAAGCAGTGGAAGGGACTGGAATCTGACAGAGAGCAGAGCAAGCACCATTGTTCCCTCAGACCCCGCCCCCACATACAGCATCACAACGCAGTGACAAAGGTTGCCCAGCCCTGGTGAACACCTAAGCCTCCGCCCCTCATATGTGACAGGCACAACCAAGACCTCCCCTGCCTTCCCCCCAGCAAAAAAGATGGCTCAAACCAAAGAACAAATGAAAGCCCCAGAGCCAACAGATAACCAACTTATCAGATGCACAGTTCAAAACACTGGTGATCAGGATGCTCACAGAACTGGTGGAATTTGGTCACAAATTAGATTAAAAATTGAAGGCTACACTAAGTGAAACAAAGAAAAATGCATAGGGAACCAATAGTGATGGGAAGGAAACTAGGTCTCACATCAATGGAGTGGACCAGAAGGAAGAAAGAAACCACCAAACAGAAAAGAATGGAGAAACAAGAATTCAAAAAAGTGAGGAGAGGCTTAGGAACCTCCAGGACATCTTTAAACGTTCCGACATCCGAATTATAGGGGTACCAGAAGGGGAAGAGGAAGAACAACAAGTGGAAAACTTATCTGAACAAACAAAGGAGAACTTCCCCATTCTGGCAAAGGAATAGACTTCCAGGAAGTCCAGGAAGCTCAGAGAGTCCCAAAGAAGTTGGACCCAAGAAAAAACACACCAAGGCACATCATAATTACATCACCCAAGATTAAAATTAAAGAGAAAATTCTAGAAGCAGCAAGAGATAAGGGGACAGTCACCTACAAAGGAGTTCCCATCAGACTGTCATCTTGTTACAGAACAAACAAGGGGGGCCTGGGACAATATACTATTATTGAAAGAAGCCCCCGGGTCCGTTATGTCGGCCGCCCGAGGAAAGACGTCTCTCAATGCCAGAGATTCGTGAAAAGGAAATGTTTATTTAATGCTATACAAACTTAAAGTAGTGACCTAATGTCTTTATCAGAAATCCCAAAGTCCCTTAAAACACCCACAGACAGTCCTTCCTTCCTTCCCCCTTTGCCCAGTCCAGAGTACCATATCTCCTAAAGCTGCGGGGGTCCCCACTCTGGCAAAGGCAAGTGGTCCTCTCTCCCCAGGCCACGGGAGTCCCCACTCTGCCAGAGCCACCTGGTTCTCCCTCTCAGTACTGCAGGAGTCTCCACTCTGTCAAGGCCTCATGGTTCTCTCCCTCAGGGCCACAGGAGTCTTCACTTTGCTAAAGCTGCGTGGTTCTCTCTTGCAGGGCTGCGGGAGTCTTCACTCTGCTAAAGCTGCGTGCTTCTCCCCCTGCACAATGGCTCCAAGGGTGGGGGGGTCGCCACTCTGCCAAAGCCGAGTGGCGGTTCTCTGCTAAAGCCGCATGGTGATTCTCTCTTGCAGAGCTGCGGGAGTCTTCACTCTGCTAAAGCTGCGTGGTTCTCTCTCAATAGCTGTGATCCTCTCTGCACTTCCACAACTGCATGGTTCTCCCCCTCAATGGCTGCCGCATCTGGGTTTAAATCCCGGCGCCAATCTTCCTCTGCAGCCCCATTTCCAACTCCTCCCACACTCGGCTTCACATTCCATAACTCATACCCTTCCAGCTTTACTGGACTGCCATCATGAATCTGGGCAGGTATGGCCCCAAGTCCTGGAGCCAATCATCTCCAAGCTCCCACACAGGCCCTGTAACTCGGGGGACCTGCCCCCCAGTTACCTCTTGGTGGAGAAGTTACTTCCATTCCCTCAGCTCAGAGCACGGCCACAGCTATTTAACACACCTAAGCGACCAGCCAAAGGCTATAGATAAGTTAAATGACCACACCAGAAGTTAGCTACAAGGCTGTTGCTATGCAAAACAGCTCTCAAAGGCCCTGCTCCATTTGTCCCTTCCCCCAACCCACACGTGGGGGTGGGGGTGAAGACATCTTAAAATCTCCTGGACACCTTAAGTTCTGGACCCCATTTTAAATGCCCTTTTGGGGTCCCCCCTCTTGGTTGCACTTTGTAACAATCTGACTTCTCAAAAGAGACCTTACAGGCAAGAAGGGGCTGGAAAGAAGTATTCCAAGTCATGAAAGGCAAGGACCTACATCCAAGATTGCTCTATCCAGCAAAGTTTTCATTTGGAATGGAAGGGCAGATCAAGTGCTTCTCAGATAAGGTCAAGTTAAAGGAGTTCATCATCACCAAGCCCCTATTATATGAAACGTTAAAGGGACTTATCTAAGAAAAAGAAGATAAAAAACATGAACAGTAAAAAGACAGCAAACTCACAATTATTAACAACCACACCTAAAACAAAAACAAAAACAAACTAAGCAAACAACTAGAACAGGAACAGAACCACAGAAATGGAGATCACATGGAGGTTTATCAACAGGGAAGTGGGAGGAGGAGAGAGGGGGAAAAGGTACAGATAATAAGTAGCATGGACAGTAGCTAGAAAAAAGACAGGGGGAGGGCACAAATAGTATGGGAAATGTAGAAGCTAAAGAAGTTATGACACATGGACATGAACTAAAGGGAGGGAATGTGGGTGGGAGGGGGTGTGCAGGGTGGAGGGGAGTGAAGGGGGGAAATGGGACAACTGTAATAGCATAATCAATAAAATATATTTTTAAGAAAAGGCCAAATGTAATTTCAACTCCTTAACAGTTAAGAAGTAGTTACATTTATACAGTCCTAAAATTATTTTGGCCATTTGAAGGCAACCACAAGGCTGATGTGCACCCCGCCCCCCCACCTTGTGAAAATGAGTATGACACCCTGATCTAGCTCAAAGCCCTCAGAAAACCTCATGCTCTAGAGCAGGGTGGGTCCTTGATTTTTCCGAGTATTATATTCAGAATCATGCTCTCTGTAAGCTACTGTCAGGTTCCCAGAGTGGATGACTGAAAAGGGTTTCCAATCAGTAGCCTAAAGCCATGTTCTTAACAAAGAGGGACACACAAAACAAGCTGCAACATGTGGGGTGGGGGGGGACAGAACACTAGAACTTGTTAGCATCTGTTCGTTTCACACTTTCAAAATCCCTATATTTGAGTATATTTTATAATATGTCAACACACTCATGTGGCTCACGTTAGGTGCATGCTTGCCTCTATCCTCTGCTTGGCCCTCCCACACCTTCCCCACAGCCCATATTTCCTGCCTTAGCCCTGACGTTTTACCCGCCGGTCAACTTTCCCCAAATCAACTCCTTCCCAGGAAGGAATCTCCTCTTTCTCCCAGATGGCACTGTGTCTATCTTAAGTAAATAAATCACCTATCCACCACCTCAGGCAATCAATGTGGAGAAAAAAACACCAGTGAATTTTTTCCAATTGCTTGGCTTCAGTTATTTCATTTGTAAAATGAGGATAATTTTAATAACTTAACAAAACTGTGAAGTCCAAAGTAAAGTATAAAAGGCACAAAAATCTGTGCTACACCATTTTAGGGTCTTACATCTGTTTTCCTCTGGCACCGAGGGTGCGCCCCACAAATATGAGGAGTATTTCTAAATGATGACACCGAAGGAAGTAAAGACCTGTCTCATAACAAATCTCTGGTAAGATGCGCTCTTTCTTTCACTAACCACCAGAAGCACCTTCAGAAAGACCTGCAGTCTCCACCATAAATGACAACTGATTAGCTGTGACACCTCGTAGTCAAAATCTCCGCAACATTGCAGGGTTCACATGACCTGGGCGGTGCGCTTCCGTTCCCACCACTCCTACCTGGCCCACCTAGTTTAAATCCTGCCCAACCTAGCAGCCGGGGGGCAGGGCGTCGCCACACGCAGTCTAAGCGACTGCATTTGGACCTGGCTCCTGGGAGCCACCCTGTATCCCGCCCACAGGCCCCCGGTTACCGGGAAAGTCACACTTGTAGGGCCGCTCGGGCTCGAAGTGGCTGCGCTGGTGGGAGCTGAGCTTGGCCTGCGTGGGGAAACGCTCCGCGCACACCTCACACTTGAACAAGTTCTCCTGCTCGTGGGCCTTCATATGCGCCTTGAGGTTGTACACGGTGGTGAACTTCTTGCCGCAGCCACCCACCGGGCAGCCGAAAGGCCGCAGCTTGTCGTGCGACTGCAGATGTCGCTTGAGTTTATAGGAGGTGGTGAAGGCCCAGCCGCAGCCGTCCAGGGGGCACTTGAAGGGTCGCCGGCCCTGGCTGCCTCCGTGTGTCAGCAGGTGCACCTTAAGCTGATGCTTTTTGGCGAAGGAAAGCGCGCACTGCGATTCAGGGCAGCGGTAGCGGAGTGCGCCGAGACCCGGCGGCCCGCGGCGGCCCTCGGCCGGGCTCGCAGACTCCTCGCCTGCCTGCGGGGGCAAGCCCAGGGATGGCGGGTCCGGTGGCGGCGGCGGCTGCTCGCGGGCCAGCGTGAAGACGCCGTGGTCGAAGCGCACGACCAAGTCCTGACAGCTAAGGGTGGCTGTGTTCGTGAGGGCCGCGCCGGGCCCAGGGATGGCAGCCGCGCCGCTAGAGCCCTGCTGGGGGCGACCGGCAGGACTCGCGCCGGCGCCAGACTCAGCCTCTCGCGGCCCAGAAGTCTCGGCCGCGACGCCGTGCGGCACTTCCAGAAGCACCAAGAAGGAGTCGCCGCCATCCACTAGGGTCGGCGGTCTTGGCCCAGGGTCAGCCGCCGCCGCCCGGGCCTCCCATCGCAGCGGTCCGGACCCGTCGTCCTCAGGATCACGCAGGAGCAGCAGGTGGCGGCGCGCGGGGCCCGGGCTGGGCGGCGGCCCCGGACTTACGCGGAGTCGGCCGGGGCTGCCGCCATGTTGGGCTCCGCGCGGGGTCTGGGCGGAGAGCAGCGCCGGGAGATCCATCTTGGACTCAGCAAGGGCGTCCTAGTCGCCGCTCCGAGGAAGCGCGGTCTGTCCCGCCCAGGCGTGCGCGACGCTGTGCGTTGTCGGCGGAGAGTCGGTTCCAAAACCCGGCGCGGAGTGTGTCCCGGAGCTGCGCCTGCTGCGGGGCGGTGTGTGTAATGTGAAGGCCATCCCTCCCCTGTCCCCGCGACCTAGTCGGATTTTCTACTTCAAGAGCTGCGGTTTGATTCTGTACCCCGGAACGAGGCTAGCCTGACTTAGAACAGTCCTCCTTCATCTGAGTACTGGGTTAATGATTGCAGCTGCCCACCTTCACTTTTACAAGTCTTAGGAAATTGAGGCACAGAGTCCGTTGCAAGAGATCGCACAGGCCTGAACACCTTCAGGAAACTGGCGAAATTGTGAACCGTCCCCGCACTGGCCTCTGGCCACAGACCTCGCTTGCAGAACCCCCAGATCCTTACCTAGCATTTAGGGCTTCCCTGACTAGACCCGTGCATACACTTGCAATTGCATTTCCTAGTAAACTTCACACAATTCACCTGTTAGCCCTCCACTCAGTCTGCCCTGCCTCCTTCTCCTCATCCCTGCACCTCCAGATTCAATCCGGAGTCCCTCCACTTTTCATGTCTCTGTACTAGGATCCAAACCCCTGCATCACCCCTGAGTTCTTAGGAAAAGAACTCCATACCTGGTCCTCATCCTCCATCTACCACTCCCTCCACTCAATCTATCCTCTATAGGACAGACTTTTGTGATCTTACAAAAATGGAAATCTGATTATGCTCTCCTCTGTGCTCCACATTTCCCTTATGGCCTTGCTGGTATCCCCCCCGGAATACACTCTTTGCTCTCATTTCTCACCATGTTAGCTTTCACTCTATAATCTCACTGCCACCATCTTTTTCCCAGTTTCTCCTACAGGCCAAGCAATTTCAGCCTCTGAGACTTTGCAGAGCTGGTCTTTGATTCCTCTGGGAAGTCTTAGCTGGCCTTCTGAACCAAAGTACACCTTCATCCAGACCCTTATTCTCCAACTCCCCCTTTATTTGTTTATTTTTATAGCTCTTAATTGCAGCTGTTTTTATTTGTCCCTTTCCCTGATATTCCATGGTCTGTGTCCCCTTTAGAATGGAGACTCATTGAGACCAGGAACTGTGTCAGTCCCTTTCACATCTATATGCCCAGAGGCTAGCAGCAAAGACTCTCAGTAAATACATATGAATAGATAAATGTTTTATTATGAAAAGTACTTTAAAAAGAATGTACATCAATGGTATTGAAAAAAAGGAAACATGTTTATATATTTATATATATATATATATATATATATATATATATATATATGTATGTATGAATGTATGCCAAAAATGTATTTTTCCAAGACAGGAGGAAAGAATAATCTTTTCAACAAATGTTACTTACGAAACTGGATATCCACATGTAAAAAAATAATAATTTGGAGCTCCTGCCTCACACCATGCATAAAAAGTAATTCAAAATGGATCAAAGACCTAAATATAAAAGCTAAAACTATTAGAAAAAAAAACCTAGGTGAAAATCTGTGTGATCTTGGATTAGGAAACAATTTTGTAACAGGGTGTTGAGCTGAAAGTCCCCCCAAATGGAGAAAACCTCCATAGCTATCACTTGGGGAATGAGGGAAGTGGAGCAAGGTGATTGGGAGCTACTTTGCCTACCTAAAGAACTTGGAAGTTGTTTTAACAATATTAAAACCTGTGCCTGTGAGGAGCCAGGGAGATGGGTGTAACTCTAACCCATGATGCATTGTACCCATGTAGCCAGACAGGCTTCCTGCACCTACTAGAGTGGCTTGGAGGCAGTTTCTGTGGCACAGGAACACACTTGCTTGGACTAACAATGGCATCCAAGAAAGACAGAAGAAACCAGACTACTGGCAGATGTAACCCAGTATGGGAGGAGTCAGAAATGGGGTAACAGAGGAAAATCCGTGCTGGTATTTAAACCCAGGTGCAGCAACCATGCTGGGGCTTAACCATATGTTTTGGGAGCAGAGAAGGGGCTCTCTTGACCACACAGCTTAGAAAAGCAGGAAAGCAAGATGTAGCTGCCATGTGGAGCTCTCTTTCTTGGCCACTTGGTTTGAAAGGATGCAGAATGATTCCCCAGCCCACCAAGAGGATATGGTTTTGGATTAAGAACAGGAGTCTAGCCGAGCTATGGACTTCTATTTCTTTTCCTGAGAGACAGTACCCCTGACTGGTCTGGTTTGGCGAGGACTGTGCATGTGTTTGTAGGTGTTTTAAAGGGACTTGGGGATTTAACGGCAACATTCCGCCATTACTCTAAACCTATATAACTTTTGAAAACATAGTTCCTTTTCTTTTTATCAAACTCGAGCATTGAGAGCTACAATTCCTACCAGCAGTAGGCAAAAAGAACCAAGAGCAAAAGACCGCTGGGGAGAAGGAAGTGTTTCTGTAATAATTTCTCAGATATGAAGTCAAAAGTACAAGTAATGAAAGAAACAAATTTGGCTTCATCAAAATTAAAAACTGTTTTGGGCCCAAGCAGGGTAGCTCAGTTGGTTGGAACATCATCTTGTAAACCAAAAAGATTGCAGCTTCCATTCCTGGTCAGGACACATACCTAGGTTGTAGGTTCGATCCCCCATCAAAGGCAACCAATTGATGTTTCTCTCTCTCTCTCAAATCAATAAAACATATCCTTGGGTGAGGATTAAAAAAACCCCTTGGGTCAAAGTATACCAACAATGAAATGAAAAGACTATCCACAGAATGGGAGAGAAATTTGCAAATCATATATCTGATAAGGATCAACTATCCAGAATATAGTTTTAAAACTCCTTCAACTCAACAACAAAAAGACAACCCAATTTGAAAATAGACAAAGTATTTGAATATATATTTCTCTGAATAAAAAATACAAATTTCCAATAAGCACCTGAAAAATTGCTTAACATCATTAGTCATTAGAAAAATGCAAATCAAAACCACAAGGAGTTATGCCACTTCACACCCACTAAGATAGCTATAGTTGTTTTTTTTTAATGGAAAAGAAGGAGTATTGATGAGACTGTGAATAAATTAGAACCCTAATACATTTTTGGTGGGAATGTAAAATGGTGAAGCCACTGTGAAAAAAATCTTGGCAGCTCCTCAAAAAGTTATGTATAGAATTTCTACATGACCTAGCAATTCCACTCTTAGGCATATACACAAAAGAAATGAAAATACATCCACACAAAAAACTTGTATGTGAATGTTTAAAGCAGCATTGTTCATAATCTCTGCAATATAAACTGGAAACAACCACCCATCAACAGATGAATGGATAAACACAATGTGGTCTATCCACACAATGGGATATTATTCAGCCACAAAAAAGAATGAAGTACAGTTCTGGCTAGTGTAGCTCAGTGGATTGGATGATGGATTGCAAGCTGAAAGGTCACTGGTTTGATTCCCAGTTGGGGCACATGCCTGGGTTGTAGGCTGGGTCCCCAGTTGGGGGCATGGGAGAGACAACCTATTAATGTTTCTCCCTCTCTCCCTGCCTTTCTCCCTGCCTTCCCATCTCTCTAAAAATAAATAAATAAAATCTTCATTTAAAAATGAATGAAGTACGGATGCCTGCTATAACATGGATAAACTTGAAAACATGCTAAGAGATATAAGTCAAACACAAAAGACCACATACATTGTATGATTTGATTTATATTAAATGTCCAGAGTGAGTAAATCCAAAAAAGCAGAAACTAGTGTTTGCTTAGGGATGGGGGAGAGGTAGAATTAAGACTGCTAATAGCTGCAAGGTTTCTTTTTCTTTTTCTTTTTTTAAGATTTAATTTATTTATTTTTAGAGAGGGGAGGGAAGGAGAAAAAGAGAGAGAAACATCAATGTGCGGTTGCTGGGGGTCATGGCCTGCAACCCAGGCATGTACCCTAACTGGGAATTGAACCTGTGACACTTTGGTTCACAGCCCGTGCTCAATCCACTGAGCTACGCCAGTCAGGGCACTGTAGGGTTTCTTTTTGGGACAATCGAAATGTCCTGGAATTAGTGGTGATGGTACAGAACACAATGAGTATCACACTTTAAAACAGGGACTTTTATATTCTGCATCTCCACTAAAATATATTGTTAGGAAAAATCAATGTAGAACATTCTTTAGGAGGATCTGTTTGTATAGGAGGGGAAACTATATGTATGTTAATGTGCCTGCATATCCTTAGAAAGTCCCTACAAAGATACACCGCTAGAACCTGTGACTACTTATAAAGCGAAGTGGAAAAAGTGTACTTTCACTTCCATTGGCACTGTTTGATTTTGTTTAAGAGTATGAGTGTTTTTTAAGTAATTTTTATAATTAAATATTTTTTCTATTATAGAAAACAGTATGGCAGTTCCTCAAAAAACTAAACCTAGAATTACTGTATGATCCAGCAACTCCACTTCTGGGTATATTCCCCCCAAAACAATGAAAGTAGGGAATCTAACAGATGTCTGTACATCCATGCTTATAACAGCACTATTCACAATAGCCAAAAGATGAAAGCAACCCAGGCGTACTTTGACATATGAGTAGATAGGTAAACAAAATGTGGTCTATCCCATGTAAAGAAATATGATTCAGCCTTAAAAAGGAAGAAAATTCTGACACATGATGACATGAACCCTGAGGACGTTATGCCAAGTGAAATTAACCAGTTTTTGTTTGCATTTGGGGAGAAATTGCCCAGCACCTCAGATAGGCTGAAAGGCTTCACTATAGATTTGGCATTTCCAACTAAATGAACAGGACTTTCCAAGTTCTAACAGGATTGGGGATAGGCTAGGGTCAGGAGTCCCAATGTGTATATTTTTTCCCCAATACCACCAGACAATTAAGTCAATTCTGACATTGTCTACCTGGAGATAGAATCAGATTCCACATGTGAAGGGCTCAGTGCTACAAAGACTCCACCCCCGACTTCAGACACAAGTTGCAAGTCCAGGTTGTCACCTATGCTTCTGACTGACTGGCAGTAAATTAGAGGTTGCCATGACCTTCCTCCTTGGGTTTGATTAATTTTGTTACAACAGCTCATAAAACTCAGAGGAATATTTTACTTACTAGATTACCAGTTTATTATGTGAAATGTTGGCATAAGTTGATCCATTTAAAAATGGAGTTAGGATAGCTATTCCAGAGGATCTGCCTTGTTCCTTGAACCTTTGGAAGGTTTGAACGTGGCAAAATAACTTTTGTGTGTGTTACATGCCTTTGAGTTGGCTCTGACTCCTGGCAACTCTGTGAATGAATGACGTCCACAATGTCCTATCCTCAACAGCCCTGCTCAGCTCCTGCAGACTCATGCCTATGGCTTCTTTTATGGAGTCAATTAATCTCATAGTTCATCTTCCTCTTTTTCTGCTGTCTTCCATTTTTCCCAGCATTATTGTCTCTTCCAATCAATCTTGCCTTCTCATGATATGCTCGAAATAGGACAGCTTTAGTTTTCTCATTTTGCCTCCAGCGATGTTTCAGGATTACTTGCTCTAGGACCCACACTTTTTTTTTTATCTTTCTTGAAGTTCAGAATATCCTTAGAGCTCTCTTTCAAATAAAGGTTTTTTACCTCTCACTTTGGCTTTTTATTTTCAGGTTTATCATAACAGCCAGATGGAACTGTGCAAGAGGGCAAGGTATGGGGAAAGGTCTCAGAGCTTCCATGCTCTCTCCAAGTATATCACGCTTCCCAATCTTCCAGTGTTCTCTAACCTGGAAGCTCTCCAAAACCCATCCTTCTGGTTTTTTAGAGAGGCTTCATTACACAGGCATGATTGATTTAGTCAGTGGCTATCAGCAACTGATCCAAACTCCAGCCCCTCTCCCCACTACCCAAAATCACCTTACTAACATAAACTCAGGTGTGCATGAAAGGAGTTTGTTATGACTATCAAAAAACCTTTATCACTCTTATCACTTAGGAAACTCCAAGGGTTTTAGAAGCTCTGTGCTAGATATGGGAAGGAAGACCAAATACATATTTCTTATTACAAGTTATGTCTGGACAAAGTCCCACCATTGTAAATATAATGAGAACAGTTTGCACATCAGTGTAACCTGTCAGCCAAGGAGAGTGGACTTCAATGAGTATGCATGAACAATGACAACTATACTAATCAGTGGGGGAAATATTAACCATTGTGCGAGGATGTGTACTGTGTGGCCATCACATTCAAAGTGATTGAGCAAGCAGAGCAATGAATCTGCATGAAA